AGTACGTAACAAATGGGGCGAACAGCTTGATAGGAGAGTGACACAGATTGCTTCGTTACTGTTCCATTGAAAGGAATTAATCGATCGATTCGCTGTAGCCTGTAATTCCTTCTGGGAGGAATCTGGACAAGTACGAATGAATCTCGCCATCGCGTAAGAGTTTTTAAACGCAGAGCCAAATTTCGAAGGGACAGTATTTCTAACCACCGAAGAAAGCTGAGTAGATTTCATAACGGTACGATCCATACAGATCAATTGCAATAATTTTTGGTGGATAAACATACCCCTGTAGCCAGAAATACATTGGATGTAAGGTCTATTCGCGTACCTCGTTTGTGGTACAATTATATCTCAGAAACTTAGACCGTACAATAATTTACGTATGCCGCAGTTTAATTACTTGTAATTGTATACCTTCGCTTGTCTGGTCGGTGAACGTTGGTTTAATTACTCGTTTTCTGTGAAGTATTAATATTTACTAGTGATCGTAAACACTCCGTATCATTCCCCTTTACAAATTGGATTTAATTTACTTTGCGCAAATAATGGCCCGAGTTTGCATGGGGCTGTTTACAAAGCAATAAAATAATTATTAACAACGAACAGAGTAAATATAATCGTTTCAAAACTAATCTGTACAGGTAAACTATTTCACTTGATACGCGTAGCAATAATTAAATCGTATGAATCAGTGAGCCCGTATATATTCGCTGTTTCGTAATTCGTGGTAACGAAATATAAGTTACAAATAAAGTATACAATTTTATTCTTTGTATTTTTATCGTTTCACCCTTCGCGTCGCGCGTTCGTAAATCCATATCGAAAGGATTTTCTTTCCAGAGGGGGCTGCGGGAACGGAAGTGTCAAACGTTGAATGCAAGCGACGCGATTTCCATAATATCAATACAACGCGCAACATTCTCGGCGACTTAATATACCGTAAAAATAATTACCGCCCGCGGAAATGAAATCGCGAACGATCGCGTCCGGAAGAAGACGCGCGATATCAGCGTGAGGGCGAGAAAGAGATATCCCGGGCATCGTCGTAAGGGAGAGGGTTGGCTCCGACGTGTCGCGAACGATGGATGCACGAGCACGAACTTTTTCGTAGCTCGGTGCACGGATACATTGTTTCCGCGGATACACCGGCAGGAATACGTTGCTTCATTTTTCTCTTCCACCCCCGTTCAGCCCCGTGTCTGCACAAGTGTATTTTCCCTTATAGCTATCCGGAGGCGGCTCGTCACACCCTCGAAACGCGTTTGTCGGCCCTCGAGTAGGTGTTATTGTGTTACGGGACACAACAGCTTCCGAGATGCCTGGGCGCGGATCCTGGGCAAACGTGATTATTTTTCGCAATTTGCTAAGCAGATGCCCTCCATTGTGCGGCCCTCTGCCGCGGCAGGAGTTTGTTTTCGTCACCCCTTTTCGTCCTTTTCCGTACGACCTCCCTCGTCGAGCACCACGTCTCGCCTCGTCGACCAACAGCGACAAGGATTTTTCCCTTTTTTCACCTGTGCGGCGGCAGCCGTCGTCGCGCGCGCGTTTATTTGCGAAAATACGCGTCGCGTCCTCTCGCCGATCTCTCGTTCGTTGATATACACGTAAACACAAAACGCCGCGGATCCACGCACGCCGGGGGCTGCATATTTTAACCAACTTGCCTACGCGCATTGTCTTCGCCAGCGTCCCCGTCACGCGACGTTGTACGCCGAGAAATAATGGTCGTACCCAACAGCATCATCCTGCTCCTCCATCTGTTCTTTGTGAAAGAGGGCAAAGTATCCGTGACAACAATGTTGCACCGCGCTCGAGAGATTGCGCGAACCGTGTCCTTTTCTTTGCTTCGATTGTGTCCCACCCCCGCCGCCGAGGGCGAGACACGCCGGGGATCGCGCCCAGGCCTGTTTCGCCGCGTATCCTGTTTCCGTTTACGCCGAAACGTTCCCTTCCCGTGCACGCGGACGGGGGTTCCTCGTTTCTTATCGATGGGTCACGAAACGAGCCATCGAACCTCGATCTATCCACTCGAATTAACCCTTTGCGCTCTCGCGAGGCGGTCTAGGGGCAAACACTCGACACTTTCTATTTCGAACGATTGTCAAGTACAATATTAAAGTAAAAAATTCGATACGACTTGCGGGATGACCTAATACGCCTAAAAAATTACAAAGGATACAAGCCTTCGAGAGAGATTTTTCGACCCTCGTCACGAGACAACTCCCTTAAAGAGGCTCTCGCCGTACTTGGTCGGTCGTTTCGAAGACGTCCAGAAGAGAATTTGCATCGATTGGCCTGCATAATTGAATCGCATTCAGGCTTAATGAGCTCATTGTACACGCGCGGGGTACAGTTCGTCTAAGCGTGTCGGAGGTATCGCGCGTCGAACCCTGATTCGATCGACGTGACAGTTGAATTGCCACCATCAAGAATCGACGGTCGGATTGTTCCAGAGTCGAAGCAGCGTATGGTGTTGCTTAAATCGTGGTCCAGGGTTCCACGCCTTACGCGTGCATTGAATCAAGAATAATACATTTTCGACGTTTACGCGAAGTGACGAGTAGACAATGGAACGTCGAGTAAGAGGTAATAATCGAAGAGTTCGCGGGAGGGGTCAAATTTCATAAAATTTACGATAGAAATATTGCAATTTTTTTTGGTGGCCACGATTGCGTGTTTTTTCTAGACCGTTGAACGGAGACTCGAAATATCAGTATTCATGGTAGTCGTGGCGCGCGTTAAGGGAATTAATCCGACGATAAATTGAATATCCTGTTGGCTGGGCGTGCGCACGCCACCGTGGTGCAACAAGGAAGTGAACTGTTCGCGTACTATTGTCACCGTGACACTAATTCGAAGAACAAGATTTGTGGCGCGCCGATTTAAAGTACATCGCTACTTAATTGGAGGCAATTGGCGGCGGGAAGCACGCGACCCTCGGTATTAATTGAGGTTTTGTTTAGCAACTCAGACGAATATTCCAGTCGCAGACGACGCGCACGTTCTGATTGCCTCGCTTCCTTCTTTAGAGCTTTCGAATTCTGGTTTAGAATTGTCTCCGTATTAATTGAGAAGCTATCCAATTTTATTTTGACAGTCAAATTTCTCGTCAAACAAACTCCGTTTCGTGTCTTTTCTTTTTAATGGCAAAAAACACGCGATGTTTTCTCATCTTAATGGTACACACGGTGGTGAAAACCCATCGCGAAAGTTTTACAAAGCTGGCAATTCTTCCGGTAGAACGGCGGGGATCGCGGAACCGGTGAATTTCGAAGAATGGATCCCACAAGAGGGCACAAGTGTCCGTCACGCCGCTTGCCTCCTGAAGGAGTTGCCCTTTTCAACTCGTCTTCGCCCCTGTCCCTCTCCATCGTTCGCGATACGTTATGTTTCACCGAACGCATGTACGACCTTTTGCACCGAAGAGCCTCCAGAAGTGCACAACGCACAAGGTTAGCCCTTTTCTTGCACGTCTTCTCCTCTCGAGGATCCTTTGAACCTTCAGCGATTTCCAGCCACGGTTCAGAGGTTCCGTGAGTACTGCAAGAATGGCCGGGACAGCCAGGTTAATCCTTGTGTCAATATCCAAAACGTTCACGGTTGCTTAATAACCGAGGGGTAGGGGTATCTCGAGCATCCACTTTGGATAGATCGGATGTACGGATTCACCTCTCGTGCTTCCCCTAAACCGTTCTCTGACCCTTTTTCAAGAGATTCGATCTTAACCATGCTTTATTAACTTCATAAATATTACGATATTCCTATCGTCTGGACAATGTAACGAGAACACCTGTTATTCGAAAGTTCGGTAGACTGCCAACTACCCGGTTAAGTGAACTGCTCGTATAAATGGAGTCCCACGGTTGCGACTGTGCGTGTTTTCGAGCCCGGCGCGAATATCGGCGACGCAGTCAATCGCGCGATAAACGAAAAAGCCCTGAACCAAGGGTTGATGTTACATCGACGGGGAAAAGTCGCGGGAAAACCGAGGGAGAGAATGGCCGCGGAAGTGGGGGGCGGTAAAAAAAAAAAAAGAGATCCGCGGGCGTCACTTTGGTGGCGGCGTGCTCTGAAAGCACCTATTGAAACAGCTCGCGGGAGTCTGACTTGGTCGGATCATTAATTGAAATTCCGTTACGCAAATGTTACGCGCGTTTCCTGTTGCGCAGGGACGGTCGAGCGTCTCGGGACACGGTCGAGTACCGTCGCAGACTAGATTCCATCGTTTTTATCGGGGCAAATTAGCGGGGGCACACGCTTAATTAGGAACGCGACGCTCGCCCCGGCGTCGCTTCTCGTTCGACGCGGCCGTTTTCGCGCGCGGGAAAGCAGGGAAAATAATTGGACAACCGGGTCACATTGTTGCCGCGGCATTCGCGGATGAAAACCGAAGCCGGGGAATTAACGGTCGGCGTTTAAAACAGAACGACGATTATGAGACCGTGTCGCGTTGTTCCGTCGCGCAATTATCGGCGAAAGTTGCCGCGGGAAATAATTATAAAACGTTCAACGATCTAATGTCGTTCTCACAAAGCATCGCGCGAACAAAGTGGCTGGGAAAACCGTGGAAAGGGATTTTCAGTTTCGTCTCTCTCTCTCTCTGTTCTTCTCTTACTCGTCTCTCTGTGCGCCACGGCGTGCGTCGTGCACGCGACTTTCGGGATCGCTCTTTCGAAGTTCACCGCAATCTCTGTGATGTCTGCCTGGCCTCGCGTGCACAAGAGAAAATGGCACTTTTGTATCCCGGTTACTAATGCGTCTCGTAATAATTTCGTTTTTTTTCCTCGACTGCCTTTTACGTGGCTACGCTCTCCCTCGGTCGCAATTCCTGGATCGTTCCCGGCGCTCCCTCGCGAAAAGAACGCGGCGCATAGGCGGGCGGATGCGACTGGAAATCAGCCGCGAAAAAAAATATAAAAATGAAAGAAAGAAAGCGATTCCACGTAGCGAGTTTCATCTCCAGGGGGCCTAACGACTCGGACGTTTCGAATTGTTCGCAGAAACGAGATGGACGTACGGACGGAAAGACCAAGAACGGCTGGTCGGATTGCGCCGACCGGACGCGTCACGCCGACCGTACATCAAACAGGTGGAGAAAGAAGAAAAGCAATACCGGTCCCGCCGCCGAGGGTACCAACCCCTATGCCCACCGCCAACAATAATCAGCAAAAGTAAGTAAATCACGTTCTCGATACCCTCTGTAACGGTCTCCCCTTTCGTTCGCCGGGGCAATATTGTCCTCCGGAACGCGAAATCTCGAACCACCCACGGAAAATGCAAACGAATGCGACTGTAACTCTTATCCGGATTATGGCGGATTACAGCTCCGCGTAACTTTAACCCTCGTCTAGCAACACGTTACGCATCTACGGGAAATGTACCCTAAACGGGCCATTTGTTCATGTTTACTAGACCAATAATTTTGGAATTGTAACTCGATGTAGTTAAATGATAGATGTTATATTTATCGAAACTTTGGCTCGCAGGAAATGTTATTTTATTATATCCGGACCACGAGCGAATACGGTCGTTCGCCATTACTCTAAATCAGCCGTGTCAAACTTATTTTCGCCGCAGGCGAATTTGCAATTTGATATCAGCCAGGCCGCGAATGCATAATTAGTTCACCGCAGTCAAAAGTACTTCGAATGCACGCAGAATTAAAATCGAAATATTAATTTCTATGTATATAGGTAGGAAGAGTACATTTATTTGCGAAAGGGCGAGTCTAATATATCTAAAGGTCGTACTATTTTCGCAAAGTACTCAACAAAGTTCTGCGAGACACGAAAGCTCCGGACAAGGGTTAAGAATGACGCCTCAATTTCGTAAGCTCTGTACTGAGAATATACAAAGTTTCGACGGTCAGAAGGTAGACGCATCCGACGGGACTCGCAGCAGTTTCCATCGCAACGTTTTAGTTGATGATGTAGCGTTCGAATGCAAGTTCCTGGCCGCGTCGAACGTGAGGGGACAGACGCCATTAAGTAAGTGGGATTAGGCGCGCGTGGAGTTTGGTACGGACTGATCAAAGTTTACCGAGGCACCGGTCACTCTGTACTCTCTCGACCAATTCCAAGATGTTCCAGGCCATATAGAATGTTCCGTCTAGTTTCGGGACTGGGAATAGCCGGTAATTCTGCGTGTGGTTCAATTACATTAGACGTTTGATTGTAGATGCGTTAGATCGCGATATCCGGAGCTCTCGCTTCGTAACCGAGGGTCTCAATACTCTCCGCGTAGAACGAATAACACGTCGTGATCGTTCTAAACATCCCCTACAAATCCCCTTCAAGTTATCGTTCGAGGAAGACCTTAACACAGATTTATATTTTTTTGTCAAAAACTGGACAAAATTTGGTAGCAAATTCCGGTTAGCTTTCGATGTAAATAGGAACTATATGTATAGCAAAGACGAATGGAGAGAACCAACAGTTTCCACTGTCTTAGAATAGTCTAACAACGCGTATTAAAAATAGTTAAACTTTAGACGAGTATAGCTCCGAAACTACTAGTGTTTTATCCATTATTAAACCACTGTTGGGAGCGGGAAGGCTTCCCCTTTAAAATGCTTTTTGGTTTTTGACGATCCGACTTCCCGTTTCCGAGATATCGTAATTTATGTAAAAGGTAATTTTTTTAATTTGGACTATCTCTGTCTCCGTCTGACGCGTCGCGCCGGACCTCTCGCTCGCACGTGAAACGTGACTCTCGTGACCTAGTTTCGACGGCGTAGTATTTCCAAGAATTTACTACGCACTGTTTACTATCTACGCGCGCGAGATGAATGGACTCGCGCGAGCGCGTAACAAAACGTAAACAAACCCTATCCCCGCAACTTGCCACCGCATCGACTTGAAATTAAAATCGCTATATCTCCGGAACTAATAAAGCTATCGACTCGTACAAACGCTCATTTTAAAGGGGATTTCATCCCCTATCCAGTGACTACATCAACTACTATATTTTATGCTGTCTTCTTTGTTTATTTTGCAATTTACTTTGACGTTACATACTAAAAGATGTTTCAGCAATTCTTATCGATTATACGCCTGGTGTGTGAGGTATATCGAGAAATAAATAAGACGGAGCATTGAAATAATTTTTCAGCATCCGTCCGCGTTCATAAAACGGCGTCTTGTCGTAATTCCAGGCACACGGGGGCTTTAGAAGCGACGCACTCGTACGTCCCTCGAAGGATCGTGGAACTTTATCTTGCGGTCGAGGGGATTTTGCTCGTGTTTCCGGCCCTATCGGTCGGAAGCGGGGATAGGTATCATTAAGTACGCCGTGCCGGCGAAACACAGAGAGTTTGGTCCGTCTGATTAAAGTTCACGGAACACGAGACCACCGGCCACTTTGCCGATCTCTTCGAGCAATCTGGCTCGACCACACGTTGGATCCGGCCGTGCAACACGGATTTCGCGGGGTTCTTTCTGTATTAAGTCCGTAGCACATAAACGTCCATCGTCCCCCTTTTCGAATCGATCGTTATTCCCGGCTGTAAGAGATTGCAGACCGTCGGATTCCGCGGATGTTTGCGGTCGCTGTCGTTTTAATTGTAGTCTTTCGGAGCTCGTTAAGCGACGCGGATTATTAAAGAGACGCTATTGGGACGTTCGGATTGCGAGGGAAGACGAGAGAGTGGGACGGGGAACTGGCTGCGTCCAGTCGGACTCGTTATTCCGAGACTCGGTCGACGTCTCGACTGGCGACATAGCTATAAAATGTGTACCGCATGCTGCGAAGCACTTAGTGTGTAACTTCTGTTTCATAGTGCATTCGAGCCACGTAGAAGACTTAACGGAGTACCGTACCCAGTGGGCAACCAGCGAATTCATTTCCCAGACGTACCATATTCTGTACCGAGACGCGTTTTCGCCGGGACTCCCGACTCGGAACTGTCTCCTCGCGAACTCGTGTACCCGGCCGTTTAACGATCTCGATAACACGATGTCGCGCAAATTGGCTCGAATATTATCGTTATACATTAGACGCCCGCGGTCTCGCGAACCGGGGACGTCGTTTACGCGTTTCAGCCGTCGAGACACGAGCGAGGGGTATGTTTTTTTTTTGTAAAATAAATGTCGCGTTTTCTATGTATAACGTATACGTTTAACGGCGAAGAAGGAGCGTTTCATTGTGGTCGTGCACGGTCCTCGAATGCTTCTTCGAGCTAGAATTATATGAGAGGAGCGCGTAGGTAGAGGGTGGAAAATAAAATTCAGTAATTCACTCTCGTATCGCGGCGGTGGCGATCGATGGTCGGCTGGTTGTTCAAATTTTTAACGAGTCTCGCAGCACCGCGAAATTAATTACTTAACGGTCGGAGCTTTTTCCACGGTTGGAAATGAAACCGCGCTCTCCATTTCCGCGGGTTCATTCTCCTCTATTTCTCGGCGCAACGTATGCATCGACAGCCGGGCTCTTTTGTGTCTCCGGCAATATACGGATACATCATTAAAAACGCGATAAGTGTCGCTACTTGTCGAACACCGACGGGTAAATGATTTTCTTCCGCTCCTTTCTGCGACGCTTCTTGCGTTAAACTACGTCGACGCCGCCGCGAGTCGCGACCGGATACTGGACGACACTCGATACGACAGTGGAACAGGACACAGTTTTATGGCGTCGCAAAAATTAATATGGACAAACGCGTCGCAATATTTTCCTGGCACGCCGCTTTGATACGGTTTTGATCGATGATATTAATTTTACGAACGAAACAATATTTTATTACGTTATTAATATGGTTTTGGTACGCAACGAGCGAGATATTTTTTATTTTAGTTCATTAAATCTTCGCTGGTATCTTGATATTTTTCTAGAATATTGTTTGGTTATTTTAAGCGCTCCACTCCTTAGATTTTAATGAAACTTCCCACGTTTGAAGAGCGGTTGAAAGTAAGTAAAACGTGTTTTCTTTTCACGGCGGTAACTTCAGTTCAGAGGGTGGAGCTGCCCTCCAAAGTATCACCCCTTAATACTATCGTGAAATGCATTAGAGATATAAGGAAGTCTTCTAAATAAATTCTGCATGCTCCTAGATAGGAAATATCATCAGCCACATTCTCAAAATTAAAACAGAAAGTCGATACATCTCGGAAATATTCGACCAACGGTTCGCAAAAGGGGTCTTAATCCGTGATTCCTGGACTAACGAGAGAGGAAAGGTAGGAAAGAGGGAAATAAGAGTCGAAACGACGCGACGGAGAGAGGGAGAGACCAACATAGGAGATTAGAGATCTACAAGTTATCTCGAAAAGTGGTTTTCGTCGTTGTACAAGTGGTGGTAAGCGGCTTAAAGTCGCGTTCACGTGATTTCGGTGCGTGTCTCGCGCGGCTCTCATCCTCGCGGATAAATCTGCATTCTATTAATTAAGGATCCGAGTCCGCCGATGGGGGACCGCCTTGGTCGTTCTAAAAGAGAGGATCCGCGGAAGGAATATGTCCGTGAGACCAGCGTCGAGTTATGGTCATTTACCTCGCAGGTTGCAAAGTCAACGAAGGTCCTATCCCAGTAAACGAAACGAATAAATGGAGAAGTTTTAAAATTTTAAAAATATTTACTGTAGGATCACGTTTGAGAAATCGTGGCCATTTTGAGTATATGTACAGTACAGAGACGAGAAGCTGGTAGGTCTGATCGGTTACAGCATAATCTCCTTCGTATGGACTCGGGAAGGTAGGTCTGCAGGAAGGAGATTATACCATACATAATCAGACACGGTAGTTCGTTGCACAGTACAGCTTTATGGTTTTTTGCAAATATCTCGGAAGCTACTGGTTTTATGGACAAAATAGTTATTATCAAAAATGCGGGGCACGCTATTTTCTACATGAAACGTCTTATTCATATTTGTAATAAACGTTATATTTGACAAGAAAGTCCTGGCAAGCAGCAGCGAGTGAAAAGTCGTAAATGCGACGGATTAAGATCGTTTGAATTTCACTTGGTTAGCCTAATTACCTCACGGAACGATCGGTTGTTCGTCTAATTTCCGTGGTTTCGGGTTTCTTCGGTTTCCGCGGCGCTCGTTATCGGGGAACCAGCGGGCGGAACGTCGGCGCGTTCCCAGATCGACCGCGACCAGAAAGTTTAAAACTTATTGTCCGCGAAACCCGGCCAATTATCGAAAACAGCCGCCACAGCCGTGCGAATTTTTTGTCC